CTAAGCCTTGATTTTTCTCTCTGAAACTCAAGTTCCCATTCCAAGAATAAGAGATGTGTTTGGCATGTAGTCGCTGGTCCACAGTTCCTGTCAAGCTGAGAAGTTGCCATGGAGTCAGAGGACATCCTGTTCTCTTCAAGAAATAAAAATAAGAGTGAAGATGGGCCATGTCTAAGTGCCCCTGCTAGACCAATGTGACGCCAACAGCCATCTTGGTCTCCTGAGCTTGGGCTCTAATTTTGGCCACTTCTCCCACAGACACGGATTCTGGCCAGGACATCAGGGTTCATCATCCGGCAGCAGAGGTCATGCATGCACCAGGCCCTTTTGTCCTTTCCCAGCAGTAAGGCTGACTCGTACCAGTCATCACCTCATTAGTTGCTGTTGCCAAGGGCTCTGCCCATGAGATTGTGCAAGAGCCCTGCCCTTTATTTACTGAATATCCTGAAGCCCTTCATTTCTATGAACCCCAGTGTCCTCTTTTATGGTTCATGATCTCCATACCACCCCTGAACTGACCTTCAGTGAAAGCCCTCATGTGCAAGCACTTTGAATACGACCAAGCCTTTCTTTCATTCAGAGAGGGAATAAATCCATGTAAATAGCCCAGATCTAGGGGATACCCTTTAATGGGGGGGGGGTCCCAGAAAGCCTTCCACTGGCATTGCTTTCTCTCTTTGGGGAGAAGCCACATGCAGTCTGTCAGCAAACCATGGTGCTGGAGGCCACAGTCACCTCCTTACAACCCATAGGATGTGCCCTCTCCAAACTCAGTTTGGTGGGAAGGCTGACCAGTGACAGCCACATCCCACAGGGACCAGAGGCAGCTGGAGCCAGCTGGTTCCCTGAGAGTTTCAGAACCTGGAATGCAATTTCCTAATTGGGAATTCATCCAGGCCACCAATCCTACCCCCACCCAAAGAATCTTAGCAACAGCCAAAGTCCCCAAGGTCTGTGAATGGCTATGTCTCTCTCTCCCTCTCCTTCTTCCCTTCCCCCCCTCTCTCCCTCTCTCTTTCTCTCAAGCCCAGGTTCCTCAAGGTTAAGGTGTTGTCAGGGGCAATTGAGGTTGGGGAGGGGAATATCAACTTGTCATTCAAATACATATCACTTTGATTTTAGTCCATACCAATTACTTTGCCAACGAGGATACTGAAGCCCAGCAAAGAGAGTCGTAATGTCCAAAGTCTCACAGCTAGAGATATACCCCATGGGGAAAGATGAAGAGCATGGCTGGGGTGGCACAAGTTGCTGATGGTGGAAGTAAAGAAAGCTGGACAGGTTTCTAGCTGAGTGTTCTTAAAAGGTGTAGCCTTCTGCCCCAGTGGTGAGTTGCTGGAATCTTCGGTGCTTAACATCCAAGAATTGTCCCCACTCTAAATGTGCCATTTCTTAGCTATCAGGCCTCCATCTTTACCCATGTTGAGTCTCCAACTCTAACCTGACCCAGAACCTCTGGTTGCTCACTCCTGGCCTTTCTTAAGCAACACCTCCTCCAGCTGGAAAAACTGAAGATCCAAAGACACAGTTCCTCAAGTACACTGTTCCCAGTGTATGCCCAACAGTCTCTTCGTATGACCTTGAAGATCTGGGTGAAGCTGAGGAGGTAGAGGTAAGAGCTGAGGAATGCCTTGGCCAACCCTTATATAAACCCAAGCTTGCATGGTCCAGTGGAGTCCCAAACTCTAATATGCCAGAGGCATTATCTTCCAGTTCATGGATGCCAGCCCTGACTGCGCTTCGGAGAGGCCAGGAAGGCCACAGGCAACTCCTTCCCTGTCCTAAGATCCGGAGGGCCCCAGCAAAGATAGACACATCTAAGGGCACAGGTTGTTTTGAAGTCAGGCCTCTCAGGACTGGGAGCTGGCACTGAAGGGCAGTTCCAAAAAGAAGACCCCACACCAAGATTTGAGCTCTCTAGTCGGTGCCCGCAATCATCTTCAGTAGCCTCTCGCAAGTTTCTGGGTTTGGATCTACAATGGTCAGAAGTTCTGTCTCACTGCCCATTTCCCAGATCCAGTGCATTTCAGGCTCGGCAGGCAGAGTGCTAGGCGGCTGCGGACCGGCCCCTGGCCTGGAGCGCCATCTCGTGGACACATGGAGAGTTCCTGCGGCCTGGGAAGTGGGCAGGCTCCCGGGTCCCGAGCAGCTTCAAAAGGGAATGAGTTCTGCGTCCTCGGCACCAACAAACCCGATGGAACAGAAACTTCGAGGGGCAAACAGTCCTCTGGACAGCAACACTTTCCCTGCGGGGTCACCTGCCTGCACTCCGGAGGATACGATGCAATGCCCAGGGACCACCTGGAGCGTCCAGCTCCCTCCAGCGCTCCGGGTCGTCCTCCCCGCTGCCTCCCCGCTGGACCCTT